AAAGAAAATACAGGCAAGGAGTCATTAATTAAGGTGAGAAGCTGGGAGTGGGGACTGCAGAATGCTAATCAGTCTGGAGGGAAGTCTGCATGGAAAGCAGTAATCAAGCTCATTCAGCTTTAATTAAACCTGACTCTATATCAAGGATGTGACACCTTTTCTTCACCTCTGCCTTTGAGCTGAGAAACCAGTTGGAGCACGTAGGTTGTTACTGGGCAGACGGGAATTCCCTCCTGGCTCCAAAGCCTCCCCAGCCTGTCTCAGCAGCTGCCCTTCCTACTCAGGTGATCCCGGAAATGGGACTTAGCACCAGGCGGAGTTTAGGGAGAGGAGCTAGGGCTTGCAGACCCTTGCTGTGCTAAATGCATCTCCTCTCCCAGGTCTTCTCTCTGTCCTCTCTGTCTTGTTTTATTTAGGCTTCACCCCAATGCCCAGCAGTCAGTCCTGATCTGATCCACTCCCTTTGCAAGCTGGGACTAGGAGGAGCAGGATCAGGGGCAAGCAATAGCCTGGCCGCCTGTGGGCTAGAACAGATGGTGTCTGGCTGTGCTGCATCGCTGCTCCTGTTCCCTTTTGCCTCCAATGTTTTGGGCTGTGAAGTGAGTCCTTACCACAAATTACACATAAATACATGTTACCCAAAGGCTCCTTGAGGCCATGTGAGCTGGCCACCAGCCACAGCATCGTAAGCCCACCTTCCCAAGTGCACTTTGCCCACCTGGGAAGGTGGGCAAAGCACACTGGACATGTTTCCGAAAGGTGTCGGCCACAGAGGAGTGGCAGCCACCACAGAGAAGGGAGCTGGAGCAATTAGAAATGGGGATAGGAGGTGAGGGAGGCTCAAGGTGCAGAAAGCAACATCGAACACTTGAGTGGAAAAAGAAAAGTAATTCCCAGCACAATGCTTCAGCTGGCCTCTGCACCAGGGAGAGGGGTGTCCTTGGAGCTGAGCTCTAGTGAGAGTTAGAAGTACCACGTTGCCTGGGAATTTTAAGAGTGGGCAGGACAAAACAATAAGGGAAGAGTTATGCAAGCAGAAGCAGGGGACAGAAAGAGAATAGAAGATAAATAAAGGGAGGCGCATGGCTCTGCTCACACGCATGACAGCTCGGCAAGGCCTTTGCTGCCTGATGTCCTCCAGCCTTGCTATACAACTTCTACAGCACTGAGAGTGTTGAAGGGCATGGCTGGAACCAAAATCACTTTGCTTTTGATGCATCCTCTAGCTGCTTCACCGAAGTGCTACCGCTCACAGGGATAAACAAGGACATCAGCAGCTTCTGCAGCTCATGTGGCGCTTGGGACTGAAGTGACAAAGCTGCACAATCTCCCAAAAACTTCGCCTTTGCCACAGCCTCACACTGGCAATCAGTTCCTGGCGATCAGTGGGCTGTCATTAAATATCTCCTCTCTGCTGATTGGGGCTCCCCAGCGTTAGTTCTCTCACCCTTTTAATTAGCTAGAAAGTGAGGAGTGCGGTTACTGCAGATTTCCAGGCTACAGAGTGTGCCATAGCACCCAGACCTTGAGTATCCACCTGGAAAGTCAGCCTGGGAGGGATATCTGCACACTGGCTCGGGGCAGGGGGCAGTGAACTGCAGTGAAAGGAGAACCATCTGCTTCGTTCAGGTCAAAAGTGTTCGCTCTGAAAACTACTGCTGCAAAGACAGTCTGTAACTGTCTCCAGCTTCACTGCCGAAGTCTGGAGTGTCCCACAATGTCACTGCTTTCACTAAACTCTTCCTGCCAAGCTTTCCCTCTTCCACTGGTCTTAGGACATTATGGATGCAGATCTGCCTCACATGGAGAGTTGCATACTTAGGAATCACACAGCACTAACTGAATACTATAGGCAATTAAGGAAAATGAGCACTGATGCAATCATATAGAATTTACTGGAAATACTGTGTGGAGATGGTGGCAGGTCTAATGATTTGTGGTTGAGGCATCCTAGGCCTGGCTGCAGAACTGCGGAGGAGGTTGCTGAAGGAGCTCTGTGGGGCTTGAGCTCAATTTAATGGATCTGAATGAGCAAGCTCATCTCTTTCACTGCTGGCAGAAAATCTTCTCAGTGGGGATAAGGTGTGGATCTGATGATCCTGGTCTCTCCCAGAGGTAAGCAAAGCCCCTGGGATGCAGTCAGGAAGTGTGATGCTAAGTGTGATTCATCCACCACCTCTCACTGTGGAGGTCCTTCCACAAGCTGCTCCCTTTCCCTTCCTCAGGATTTGCCTGGCCAGCGAAAGCAGCCCCTTTTCCCCCTCCTGATCTCTCAGGTGATCCACCTTTGCCCCCTTTCTAGGTTTTTTCCTGGTCTTGTCCTGCAGCATCACCAAAATCTCTCAGGCCACAGGACTGAGGCTCAGGAGTTGTATCTGTGCCAGCAAATGAAGCAGGATCTGTCCGGCTTGCACTTGCAAGCCAGGTGGCATCACACAGCTGGTGTCCCCACAGTGAAGCTGTCCCATCTCCACAGAGAATGGCCTCAGGTGACTGCAGGCACATGGACTTGGCACACTGGGGAAGCAGAGTACCATGCTCAGCCCCCTGCTCCTCTCCACTAGTGTCAGGACTACATGACAGAACAGGAGCTATGCGATCAGCCACATGTCCAAACCTGACTCTGCCATGCACCGCAGCAAATGACAGTATTGCAGAGACACAAATCCCCCTGGCTCCCTCTCTCCCATCTGTGCTAGACTGATCAAAGGATGTTGTTTTTCTGGGCTTCTCTGGCAGCCTGATGATGCAGAAAAGTTCTGGAGAAAGCTGCCATGGTGCTGGGGTCCAACCTAGCTGAAAGATGTTTACCCCAACTCCAGAGCAGCGTGACACTGCTCTGGTGGGGTGAAAGCTCTAGCCAAAATGTGGGTGCTCTGCCAACACATTGCTTCCCGCCTCCCTCACTCCCTCTTGTCCTCCTGCCCTCTGCTTCTAGACCCTTGCTTCACCCTGCCCTCTCACCACCGCTTTCTGTCCCTATGGATGGCTCCCACCTAGCCTCACACATTTCTCATTTGTATTGCCCCCTCCACCCATCCTCTCACCATCCTTCCTTTTCCCTCACTCTGCTTCTGTCTTCCCTTCCTGCAACTTTCTCTTGAACACCAGCAGTGCTGGACCCATCCTAAAACCCTCAAGTCTGCTGCTTCTATACAATTCTGCAGTGTCTGCAAAGTTAATTAAAAAAAAGTTATGCTCTGCTAGTGAGTCAGGAGCACCAGACTGTGGTCAGATGGCTCCTACAACGTCCACCACCTCCAGCCTAAACTGCTGAGCCCTGTATCTGGCAGAGATTGTATCCAGCACACAGCAAACAGGGCAGAAGAAGGAAATTACTGCGCTTTATTGCAGTCAAGCAAGGGAGAAATTACAGCACATTCCAGTGAATGTGATTTCTTGTCCCACTTCCCATCCATCCCACTGTCAGGCCAGGAGGAGCCTTGGTCCTGCTACGGGATGTCATTGAGCTGCTACCACAGCCAAAGGCTCCCCCACGGCTTCTTGAGGAAGCAGGGACAGAGCAGGGGAGAATTTTGCTCCCAGGCAGAGCAAAATGCGTCCCACAGCAATTCTACAATGGTGAACATCTTGGAAGATGTCCCAGCCCACTGAGTGATGTTGGCCTCATGAGATCCTGGAAGCCCTCTCCATCAGGTAGAAAGGGGCACTGAGGAGACAGAATTGAATTAAATGCACATGGGTATGGTGGGCCTGTTTCTTTCTCCCTTGCCTCACCATAAGTGTCACCTGGCTTGACAGCTCATTTTGCAGCTTGGCTCTTTTTGCATCTTGGCTTTAGTGACAGCCATCAATTCTCTCAGTCCTCATCACCGCATGGAAAAAAACTGCTCGGCCAAGTCAGTAAACCACACACGTAGGGCTAATGTCGCTGAATAATGTCACTGCTCAGAGAGCGAGAGGACCTTCAGCCCCAAAAGGAAGGAATGAGTAGCAAGCAAAGATGAAAGAGGAGGTGGAAATCCCTCAGGAATTTGCAAAGTCAAACAGAAGGTAAGCAAAGGGTCGAATCAGGTGGAACAATGTGATGGAAGGAGGAGTTACCGGGTTTGTTAGAGAACTGAGGATAGCTGTCAGGAAATATTTCTGATCTGCAAGCAGCAGTATGAATTGGGACAGCATCCTGCAAGATCTGCTTTCAAGAGCTAAAGCTGAGACAGAGCTCTAGTAGACATCCTCCAGCCAGTACTTCTGGTGGACCAGGGTGGAGAGAAGAGACTGGAGAGACAGTCCTTTCCTCCTTGAACTTGAAAGAAGCCACACGTGTGGAGGGAAGGCACGCAGAGATGTCGGCACACAAGCTTTTCTCTTCTTCACCTGCCATGGCATAAATCAACTCAGTACCACTAGTGACTGCTGTGGAGTTTGCATCATCGAGCTGTTGGCACAGACAGTTGACATCCTTGTACACCAGCTGATGGGGTAAAGGTCCTTTGTTCCAGATGCAGGGGCTAGGGAAGGGAATGGAGGTGGACAAGGGCTGCCCCTGGCCCAGGGAAAAAGAAGGGCATGTGGACAGGGGACTGTGTTTTGATGCTTGGGGTTTAAGAGGCTGCCAGCTCTCCTACTCACACACGCATCCCCATGCACTCTCTCCACCCTTCCCACCCATACTCTGATATGCCCTTAATAGCCTGGATTTCCTACCAGGATGTTTTCATTCTGGTTGCCTCCCTCTTAGAGTTTCAAGGTGCTGCAAAAAATTAGCATGCTAGGAAGTTGGGAAATTGAGGCCTTAAAACCC